GTGCTCTAGAGAGGAGCGTGATGGCATGGCCTGGGCTCTAGAACTGGCTCAGGTGCTCTAGAGAGGAGCGTGATGGCATGGCCTGGGCTCTAGAAAGGAGCGTGATGTCATGGCCTGGGCTCTGGATCTGGCTCAGATGCTCTAGAGAGGAGCCCAAAGAGGTGATGTCATGGCCTGGGCTCTAGAACTGGCTCAGATGCTCTAGAGGGGAGCCCGGAGAGGTGATGTCATGGCCTGGGCTCTGGAACTGGATTGCTTGTCAGTACTAATTCTGTAACTCATCATGGCAGCAGCAGGGCGAATTCTGAGTTCTTGTCCACAAATTTCCTAATTACAGAATGATTGAGAAAATCATTTGAGCTCACTCCTAGAGGAAAACATTTGATAGTGCATGCAATCAAATCATGAAAGCACAGTAACTACAACAAAGATGATTATAACCTATTGGCTGCTACCCCAGTCTCAAAATAAACCTGATCCAGGAACAAAAAAGAGGACTCCTGTTTCACCTGACTGTACACCTCTCTGTAAAGCTTTGTAGTGTATTCACTGTGCAGAATAAAATACTGCCCTACTTACTGGGCTGTGCTTCAACTGCACAGCGCGACAATGAGGCAGAACACACTGGCTGTACAACCAAGGAGCTCCACAGGAGCAAAAAAGAAGTGGAAAATCTTTGGCTGGCCAAGTCAACCTTCGGATTGAAATCCAACTGAGCGTGGATTTCATGTGCTGAAGACAAAAAGCGATGTCAGAACATTCCGATAGGAAAGAACTCAAAGTAGGCAGCAGAGGGTTAACAACAGCAGCTCGACCGACGTCGCAGTCTGTAGAGCTCAGCGGGTCAAAGACTTCAGACACAAAGGGGAGTGAAAGCAAATACTGAGATTTACACTCCAATTCGCACAAGGTTTCTTAAACCCGAATGTGTCCCAGTACTTCTGGTCACTTGAACCAAAGGTATTTTTGTTCTCTAATGTGATCAACTGAATGTTACATACTGTCCTTACAGGTAATTTCATGATCTCGTTTACAACCTGCTTGACTGGAAAGGAGAGTTCAGTTTGGACTTTGCTGTCCCAGTTGCCCCCCAGGACAGTCCCACTCGGCACTGCAAGACGGTTTTGGCACGAGCATTTGCCGCTCAGAATTATAGATCAGATTTAGTGACGTCATTCGCGACCCATCGGTTTTCTAACCACTTTGTCCAAGTCGGGGTCGCGAGGGAGCCGGAGCCGATCCCGGCAAGCAACGGGGGATAAAAGGCAGAGCACACCCTGGACGGGATGCCAGTCCATCGCACGTCATTACTTTTACGCCACGTTACATCCAAATCACAATCATCGTGCGTTTTAAAACGACCTTTAACGGCGAAGAAGATTCGAAAACACGGTTTTCGCATGACGTCCAGGAGGCATCACGGCAGTCTCGCCGGTCACGTCCCCAGCTAGAAAAGTGAAAATCCCCTGGACGCGACCTGAGCCGCTGCTCTCCTGCGGGCTGTGGGCTGTGGGCTGTGGGCTGGCCAGCGCGCCTTCTCTTGCACAAGATGCGGCTCACCAGAAGGCTCCGCAGGTCAGAACAGGCAGGTGTCTGCCCACGAGTAACGAGTTATATCCCTAACAACGATACCAAACAACTGAACAATAAACAATGTGTTTTCTTTCTTCTTTTTTTCAGCATGGAATAAACCTATTACTTGTTCCAATGAACAATATATGCTTCCTGTGACACTTCATGTATTTTTTTTTGTGTATATATATTATGTTAATGAGCTTAAAAAGGTGAACAACGTACCTTGACAATTTGCTGGTCGATCACAATGGGTCCCACGAACACGAGAATAGTCCCGAAAACTGCAGTCAGGACTCCGGACACTCCCAGACCTAGAGCTAACTTTGTTCTAGACAGAACCATTTCTCTGTGCACAGCTCCGGCAAAGTTAAAAGAGTATCTAGCTTTAATTAAGAACAGCGCGCACGGAATAAACCCACTTGGTATCTGTCAGTGCGCTCTCCCTTCACCCTGACAGCTACATCAGGGAGCTGCGACCGAGACAACAACAGCAGTGCTGGGGTGATCTGTCTGGAAGCTATATAAGGCTGGAAGCTTTCCGGGTCGTCGTGAACAATCCAAGTCCGATTTTAAAGTTCACTGATGCAGAGATAATGCTCACTTTGTAACGCACCATCGTGGTTTTGATAACGAGCCCAGTTTATGCGAGGTTTGTGCTGGCGGGGCCCCGCCCCTAACTGAGGGATTCTGGGAAATGTAGTTCAGACAGCTGTCGCGCTGTCTCTCGAGCGCCGCTGCAGCTCCTCCTCCGCGTGCTCGTAACAGACAAGTATCCAGTAATACCTGATGTTTTATTTCTGGTTGGGACACTTCTTACTACAGAAAGTAGTGTCTGTAAAAAAAACAATAAAGAGTGAAAAATGGGTTTCATTCTTCTGATTTTTCGTGTTCACAATGCTTCTGCTCCACACAATGCAATGCATTTAATAATAATAATAATAATAATAAATTCCCTACACTAATACAGGGCTTTTCTAGACACTCCACTCGAAGCACTTAACAGGTAATGGGGATCCCCTCCACC